GGCATCACTCCTTCGGGGAAAGCAACTTCTATTCACTAACGGGCACCACATCCCAGCTGAAAAGCTGCTCAGCAGCTTCACGCTGTATTTCCAAAGAGAAAACACATTAAAACGTTGAAATGCAACACTATTTCTGCTGTGGTTTGAAGGGGTGCAGGGCTGGGCAGCTCGGGGCTCCCTTGCTTGAAGCTGACAAGCTCCAGCTGAAACACGGCTGGGACGAGCGGAGAACAAGTGCACGGGAAACGCTAGGAGCGTGGCTGCCTTGGAGAAGCAAAACAACGTCTGGGAAGGGATAACAGTGCCACTTATAAATACATCAGCCATAAATACATCAGAAGAGGAACATCAAGGCGGGGGAAGAGCTGTTTAAGTGAAAGATCAATGTTGGTTCGAGGAAAAACAAAACGGGAATGACATCGAGCTGGAAATTAGATGGTTCCTACCCAAAGCAGGGAGGTTGCCCAGCAGCCTCCTAACGAGGATGAGAAACCAAAGTGGATTTAAGCTGCAGCTCCATATGCTCCCCCCGGGGATTATAGGATGGGGTTACAGTGATGACGGGACACTGGATTTTCACTGCCGCCTCCAGCACCGCGGCCGTGGAGCCTGGCGGGCTGGTGCCTGGGATGAGCTGCTCGGCAGCACGACACCTTGGGAGGCTCTGCAAGGAGAGAGACGGGGTTGAGGCGCGGTTTCACGCTGCGGAGGATGACTCACTTGAAGCAGGTTTCTATAAACAACCTCCTCCCGCCTTCACCATCAGCTCCCTTATTGTGAAGATTGCTTGAGACAGCACCCTCTAATTAAGCACGAGCCTGAGGCACATTCCTCATTAGCAGAAATAGGAAGAAGTGTCTCATTATCATTACTCACTTTTCTATAAAAGCCCACAAGTTTTCTGTGCTATTTGCCCTCTGAATGCTGCCACGCTTGAGAAGGCAAAAACAAAAAAAGCATCACTAAAACATCATTCCTGATCTGGACTCCTCGTTAAAACATCCACTTACTGATTTCAGCAGCACTAAGGAAACACCTCTCTGTGGTCCAGGACCATCCCTCCTCCCCACGGGTGCCTTAACACGCAGGGTTTGCTCTGCACAGTCAGGAAACATAAGGCAGAGCTCCATCTTGCCTTGACCCAACGCCTCCTGCTCAAGGATGTGTGTGCAGGGGCTGGTTCACTGAAGTCTCTGCCATGGCACTGTGCATCCCTACAGTGAGGGCTGTCCCCTTCCTGACTCCGTGCCAGCAGCTCCCGTTGAGCTTCAGCTCCATGCCACATGCCGGTGGCCCCTGTGATGCAGGGCTCTGCTCAGGCACCATCCAAGGGTCTGAGGAATGTCCAGAGAGCAGACACAGAGAAGGCGATGCTGGCTGAGTTGAGCTTTAAACCTTATCTCCACTCCAGGTCCCTCTGGACCCTGGGACAACCCCTGCATCTCCCAAACAGCGCAGGTGCTGGGCAAGGGGATGTTGCATGTGTTTGCGGGCTGCACTGCAACACAGGGTGTTTTCTTAGCGAGAGATCCAGCTGCTTGCCACTGAGACAGATCCAGGCAGCTCTGGCACATCTCAAGAGGTTTGGACAGCAAGTGGTACCTCTCTGGTCTCCCATGGAGCTTGGGCCACCCTTGGGCAGAAGGATGCACGTGCTGCTCAAAGACCCTGCTCCCATTGCAAGGGGCTTTCCCAGGGCACTGAAACACCATGGTAAGCTGTTGTTGGCAGTGGGTTTCAACCAAGGGATCAATCCTCCCACTTCTCCAAGGGTTGTGGATTAATACGTTTGCTGATGTGCAGCTCACATCACTTTCATCTGGGAGCAATTAGCTGTGAGGGAGAACAGGGTATGAAAGGTCTCCGCTCGGCTGCCCACACCTCACTGGGGGCATTTACAACCCCATGCCCAGGACCATGCTGGCTCCTGGAAGAGAGAAGCATCGCAGGACGCAGAGCTACCCTGTCCAGGAGGCGTCAGCAGAAATGCTAATACCGTCCCTGTCCCCGTCACACGCAGCAGAGAACTAAAGCTCAGGGCTGAGCCATCAATGCGTTTCCCAGGCACCCAAGAAAGCATCTACCCAGTCCACTCTCCTGTCCACAGGGCGATTAGCTCCACCTAAATCCGCTCTTAAAAAGCAGCAAAGACAGATGCTGCTTGTCCAAGCTGAGCTACCAGGCACTGGCAGAGCCCTCGCAAGCCCAGGTGTCAGGTACACCCAGTGTTCCCAGTAAAAACCAACAGAAAGGCCATGCACAAGCAGCTGCTGGCTGCCAGCCAGGATCAGTGGTTTGGATGATGAAAGGACGTCACCTTTGTTCATCCATGCTTCTCCTTGCCCCTCATTTTGTGTCTGTGACTGACACATCCAAAGTCCAGCTAAACCATTTGTTGCAAGCATCAGCTCTGTTTAAGCCAGCCCTTTTCTAAGCACAAAGAGCTCCCAAAATCCATGGGGATGACCTCCTAAGTTGGTCTATTGTCCAAAAGCGCTGACAGCCCCTGTGTCCTTGGGCTCATTTAGGAAAAGCTGCATTCAAGAGAGGGAAGGCATGGCAGCAGAGATCAGAGACCAGTGACTGGTCACAGACAGCAAACAGCAGGGACAGCACATGGGGTCTCAGAAACCTCATACGTGTCAGGACACAGGAGAGGGGACACCATAAATCCTACTCTATAGCCTCTCCCTGTCCTTTCCCAACAAGGTTTCCTGCCCTGGCGCTGTGCAAAGATGTGGGGGTGACAGGCAGGGTGCAAAGCCAAGGACAAGGTCAGCAGGACACTGTCACCTCAAAGGCTCACCGAGTTGGTCCCCAAGATCTGCAAGTTGGGCTTCTCCGACTCCAGCAGCTTTGCCACCATCTTCAGGAAGCTCTCCACAAAGAGGTTGATGCTCTGGCAGTGGCAGGCCATGAGGAGCTGGTCCAGGGCTTCCATGGCAATACATACATACCTGGGAGCAAGCAGAGGCCAGGGTCACTCCCTGACAGCAGCATGGGCCCATAGTCGTCCCTCCTCCTCCCCTGTCCCAAACCACCTGGGTGCCCACCAGTAAAACACCAACCTCCTGCCCTAGCCAACCCAAGGAGAAAAATTTTACACCCAAAATAGCCTTGGGATGTTTTCAGATGGTGTTGGCTGCTCCCAGCATCTCTCCTCCCAGTAAAGATGCAGCTGTCCCAGGACCAAGGCTGCCAGCAACACCTTGCATCTCCCCCGACACTGCTTGTGGGCTTCTCTCGCCCTGAACCAATCTTTACAATCCAAGAGAGAGCGCTGGGCTTTGTACAGGGTGGACTCAAATATGGACTTTCTCACAGACCCAGCTGGTCCTGGCCAGCTGGATGAGAACAGAATGAAGACTGATGCGTTCCAGAAAAGCTGTGCTTAAACATAAAATAAAGCAACTGGAATAGGCACTGGAACAGGTTGCCCAGTGGAGCTGTGGCTGCCCCATCCCTGGAAGTGTTCAAGGCCAGGTTGGATGAGGCTTTGAGCCACCTGGTGTAGTGGAAGGTGTCCCTGCCCATGGCAGGGGGGTTGGAACTGGATGGTCTTTGAGGTCCCTTCCAACCCTAACCATTCTGTGATTCTAACCCTGCAGAGCTTATTCACATCACCCAGAAGTTCCGGGGTGAGCAGGGTTTCCTCCAGCAGCGCACAGGCCAGGATGCAGCATTGCCCACACGAGGATTACCTTGGTCCCCATCCCTCCTCTGCAGACAAGGCTCAATCCCTCAGTCCTGGCTCTGCCATGCTGAACAGGGACAGGGAAAGTCCAGAATGTGGTTGAAATACAGCAGCAAGACTGGATGCATCTACGACAGGTCCTTGGGCCATGCAGGAGCCTTCCCCAAGCACAGTACGTCCCTTCACTATCCCTTCTTCGAGGCTGAGCTTACCCACAGACCACCCTCTGGCAGCTGGTTTCGCTGCAAGCTGCCAGGCTATTTATTAAACCAGTCCTGCAACGCTCCCGCCTCCAAGAGGAAGCTGGAAAACCTTGTTCCCAGCGATGAATCTCAATCAGACGCCCATTATAGAGGTGGCCAGCTCGTTATGCTACAACCAAAGAATCTGCCGGGTGTTGCTTCGTTATTTCCAAGACAAATTGGATGGGTAGCTTGGAGTGGCTCTGGCGACAGGCTGGTCCTGCAGCGCTTTCTGCATCGACAGCATCTGGTTCATTACCAACACGGTGGCCGGAGTTCCCAGATGGGCTGCTGTGCAATGGCCACACTGATTTCCAGCTGCTGGTCGCCCACTGCGTGTGCAAAGCCCAGCAGAAAAGCAAACCCCAGCCTCTGATGGCTGCGAGCAGACATTTATTCCAGCTGGAAAGGCCCAAAATACACAAAAAAAACAAATGGTGATTGCATTGAGTCTCACAGCTCCAGCAATTCTTGCAGGACTTCAGAGGTACCCCTGACATGGACCTGGTACCAGGACACTGGAAATAAAACAAACTTTACAGCTTCTCACTACCTCCTTTTGACTCCTTCTCTCCGTGCAGCTGTGAATCTTTGTCCCACAGCAGTCCACATCGAGCCCAGACCTCCTGCCACGGCCAAAAGCAGGAGATGGCAAGCCCAGATCTCTCGATATCAACCCCAATTCCTCCCTTAACCTCTGTTTCTTGAGCCAGCTCCTTGCACAGCTAAACTCGCAGCTGGGGTGGCACACAGCAACCACCGGCTTGTGCTGCAAGAGGGAAACCCCAAAGCACCGGGCTCCCCAGCAGCGTGGTGGGCAGGAGCTGCCCTTCTGCTCACGCCAGCCCTGCCTGCACGTTAAAGGGCAGCTGGGGAGGCAAACTGCCCTCTCGGGGAAAAGGTGCCTGATAAACTCTGGACTTCCAGGTTCCAGCTGGTTAAACAGAGCAAGATTGATTCCTTCTCCTGAGGCCCCAGAACCATTGAAATCTGGCTCCAGTCTCAACTAGATTCTCTGGTGTCTTGTAGCACAGTTGAGTTCACATTGCAGGCTGGCCTGCAGACACTGTTACAGCTCTTCTAGACAGTGAAAATAAGCAGCCAACTATTCCTGGATCTGTGAGGCTCCTACCCAGCTGTCAAACTGAGTTAAAACTGGCCCAGAAGGAAAAAAAAAGATACGAAGAGGTGACCAACGACAAGCATGAAGCATCAAGCTCCTTTCTTGCAGGGAATAAGGCTGAAAACAACATTCTGTGCCAATGTTATTGCAACAGCACGGCTTCTCTTTTGTGAACAACTGCACACAGGCCAGCTAGAATCATAGAATCACAGAGTGGTTTGGGTTGGAAGAGACCTCAAAAGATCATCTAGTTCCAACCCCCTGCCATGGGCAGGGACACCTTCCACTACACCAGGTTGCTCAAAGCCTCATCCAACCTGACCTTGAACACTTCCAGGGATGGGGCAGCCACAACTTCTCTGGGCAACCTGGTCCAGTGCCTCACCACTTCTCAGAGGGAAGAATTTCTGCCTTAGATCTCATCGACATCTCCCCTCTTGCAGTTCAAAGCCATTGCCCCTTGTCCTGTCAGTACACACCCTTGTTCAAAGCCCCTCTCCAGCTTTCTTGTAGCCCCTTTAGGCACTGGAAGATGCTGGAAGGTCTCCCCAGAGCCTTCTCTTCTCCAGGCTGAACAGCCCCAACTCTCCCAGCCTGTCTCCAGAGCAGAGATGCTCCAGCCCTTGGATCATCTTCGTGGCCTCCTCTGGACCTGCTCCAACAGCTCCATGTCCTCCTGATGTTGGGGACCCCAGAACGGAACACAGCACTGCAGGAGGGGTCTTCCAAGAGCAGAGTAGAGGAGTAGAATCACCTCCCTCAACCTGCTGCCCACGCTGCTTTGGATGCAGCCCAGGACACGGCTGGCTTTCTGGGCTGCCAGCGCACGTTGCCAGCTCCTGTTGAGCTTCTCATCACTCAGCACCCCCAAGTCCTTCTCCTCAGGGCTGCTCTCAATCCATCCTCCACCCAACCTGTACTTGTGCTTGGGATTGCTCTTGGGATAGGCTGCCCAGGGAGGTGGTTGAGTCCCCGTCCCTGGATGTGTTTAAGAATAGGGTGGATGATCTACTTAGGGATATGGTTTAATGGGGATTAGGGACGGTTGGACTCTATGATCTCTAAGGTCTTTTCCAACCCAGAAATCTATGAAATCTATGACCCATGTGCAGGACCTTGCACTTGGCCTTGTTGAACTTCATGAGGTTTGCACAGGCCCACCTCTTCAACCTGTCCAGGTCCCTCTGGATGGCATCCCTTCCCTCCACCGTGTCTACCACACCACAGCTTGGTGTGTGAGAGGGAAAAAGGGACACTTGTGGAGCCATTACCTCCGACCTACCCCAACCATCCTCTTACAGATGGTGGATGGCATGGCTGCAAACTCAAACCAGGGCACTTTCTCCTTTTAGCAATAAAGGTAACCAAAAGATGATACCCGACACACCTGAAATCAAAGCTACCTTCATCTTACATGCAGAAGACAAGTACCCACGTGCTCAGCTGCTCTTTCAAAGCCCAGCTGTGGTGTCTGCAGCGGGGCAAGCCCTGCTGCTTCAGCCAACACCAACCTACAAACAAAAGGTTGATCCAAACCCATTTCAGGCATTTCAAAGTTAGACTTGGAAAATTAGCTAGTGTTCCAATCCAATTATGCGCCTATATGCACAGGGGGTGGAGGAAGGAATATATTCCCCCCTCCACCCGCCAAGGCTTGTCATTAGACATCAAAAAATCTTTGAAAGCCTTTCTTTCCCCAACATAACAAGCAGAGCCTGTTAACAGCCGCTTAACCACAGAACATCAGGCAGAGCTTTGAATGTCCTGTCACTCCCGATGACGGGTGAGGCGGAAGAGGCTTTGAAGGTTTTCCAACTTTAACACTTCTTAGGCAGACTGCTGGCTTCTCTTCCCCCAGGATAAAAGGCAGGCTGAAGTTTGCACCACGAAGCTGAGCCGTGTTTGTCTGCTGCAGCTTTGTTCAGGAGACAACAAGAATCAACCCAGGAGCTATTTCAAAGGGAAGGAGCCCTCCCATGCTCCCCCAGTGCTCCTAATCAGGACAGTCAGCTATTTCCAGGCGGGCACCGCTCTCCTTGCAGTAAACACGGCAAAGCCTTGCTGGAAGCGATCCAGGGAGGACAGACGAAGGGAGTGGGACCCAGCCAGGACCATGTAGGTGAGCTGGACAGAGCAAACACAGTAATCCCCATCCAGCCCAACACATCCCCATCACGTGTTGTCTGGGTAAGCGTCAGAGCACTGCCCCTCATCCTGGCTCCCACTTGTGCCACATCACCATAACTCAATAGAGATGTGCATGGGGTGCAGTGTGCCCAAGCTTGTCCTCAATAACCCCCAGCAAGCTGCAGCCAGGGCCACCCTGTTTAGCTGCTTGCCCACACTTAGCCAGACTTCCATCTGGCTCTGGAAGAGCCACTGGGAGCTTTTAAAGGCCAGGAGGGTGCCACAGGCTCCTGACGACAGTCCAGAGGGATGATGGCAGTCCTGCTGCTGGAGACAAACATGGTACACACACAGACTACTCCAGCACAACAGTACGATGCCACAGAAACACTATGTAGCTCCTAGCTCGCCTGGTCCCTTGCAACTTTGCAAGGAGTTTGCACATCCCTGCATGCTCCCATGTCTCACTTTCCGAGGCCGGACATGCTTGGGTCTCTCTGCAGCGTGCTCACAGCTTCAGGACAGCTTGGGGCATGCAGGAGCTGTGTACCCAACACATCTCACCCCTTGCCTGGGCCCTCTCTACTATCTAACGTCCCATCATTATGCCAATCACTGGAGTGGCTGAAACAGCCTCCCAGCCCTTACCCATATCGGTGCCGGCTCACGTCTCGGATGAGCCGCTCAGAGAGGTAGGCACCAATGCGATCCAGCTTCTCCGGGGCAGACAGGGCATAAAATGTCAGCTTCTCCATGTTGGTTTTCACCAGCCCATCCTGAAAGAGAGTGGCACAGTGTATCACAGCCTCACCCCCAGACCCAGCAAACATCAGAAGCATCTCTGCAGCAAACCTGGGCAGCGATGCCAGAGGTCTGGAGCACACCAGTCCCATCCCAGCACTTCCCCACATCTTGTGCACCATGGAAGGCAAACAAGAATCGCATTTAGTCTCAGCTGAGGGCTCTCTGATGCACCACAGCCAGGGCTGACCCCAGTGCAAGCCTCCATCGAGCACCTCACACTGTAAATACAACGAGAACCATTTGCCAGCCCCTAGCAATGCCTCAGCACCAGGGGGGACAGGGGCAAACAGGGACATCTAGAACTCCAGGCTGTTGAGGCCAAATGACACAAGCGTGCCAAGCTGCCAGTCCCAATCCCCCACAGCGTGGAAAACTGTGGTGCTTCCTCCCCTCTGCATAGTTCGGCAGCGGTCTCCTCTCTTTCAGCTTTGCTGCCAGCACCATGACAAAACAGTCACTCACCACCTCCCTGGGTAATCCCAGCCTCGCTACCCTCAGCCGGGAGCCCCTCTTCCACTGCCTTCATATCTTGGCTGTGAAAAGGAGACTAAGAGGTCAGATTTGGGATGCTCCAGGCGCAGCTGGCAGGGCATCCCTCACCTCCAATTCAGCGAGGCAGCAAGCAGGGCACCAGCTTCCCTGCATCCTGGAAGCATAAGCAGCTTTTGAGCACAAAAGCCTGGCTGAGGCCCCAAGAGATCCCCTGCTCTTAGAAGCTGCTTTCCTTATCCTGCAAAGAGAAGGATGAATGCCTTCAGGCCTAGTCCCCCATCCTCCTACCCATCTATCTTTGGCATCTGTCTGTCCCTCTAGGCTGAGGTGGCTGCAGGAGCTGCTTCTGTATTTAGAATCATAGAATCATAATGGTTTGGGGTAGAAAGGACCTCAAAGATCATCCAGTTCCAACACCCCTGCCATGGGCCCGGACACCTTCCACTACACCAGGTTGCTCAAAGCCTCATCCAACCTGGCCTTGAACACTTCCAGGGATGGTTTCTGCTCACAAACAGGCTTTAAAGGAAAATCAGCCCTCCAGGCACTGTCTTATGGAGTCAAAGCATTGCCTGTCTCCCAGGAGCTGTTTCTGGGCAAGTCACACTGCGTCCCTGCAACCTGAGCACTGGAGCTTCAGTGTGTGAAGCACCAGAGCTTCGGCATGTGAAGCAGTGCCACATTTACCTCTGGGTCCTCAGGGAAGATGTTGTCGACGAGCCTTTTGTAGCGAGGACGCAGGGCACCACAGCAGCCGCACACACCTGGAAGAGAGGAGACAGAGCCCGTCAGCAGGGACAAAATCCTCAGCTCCTGGGCAAAGCCCTGCGTGGAGGTGCCTTTGGTGGAAAACGTATCCTTGGATTCAGTGGGGAGGCCTGGGAAGAGGACAAGGCACCAAGCTGATGACATTACAGAGTTTTGCAGCCAAAAAAAACAAGGGAAGAAAACCGCAGCTGACAGGCAGGGAATGGGCTGGTGACCAGCATCATTTGATATAGGACTGCAAGGTTATCTGCTTTTCTCACCCATGAAAACAGCCCCCAGAGACCGAGATGTTCAAAGTTCCCCTAAACCTGTGCCTCTGTCCCTCTCTCAAGATTCTCTTCTGCGGATCCTCAGACCAAGAGCTCTTTCCTCCAATCACTTACCCAAAGACACACTACACACACCCTGCCCTGCCCTCCCGACAGAGCCAGTGGCGATAAAGAGAGCACAAGTTGCAGGAGACAGCAAGACAGAAAAAGAAAAGAGAGCATCTTATGAAGGCAACGACAGGAAAACGCATTTTCCTGTTTGCAGCTCCAAAGCTGAGCTGTTGAGAAACACCAAATGCCTTCGATTGCCCCCTCACCTTTGGGGTGCCAGACCGCAGTCCCTCTCCCCCAAGGCAGGCACCAAGCTTCGCAGGACACTGACACAACCATACCCAGCCCCTCTTTTTGAGGGTCCCCAGACATGAGAGCAGCTTGTCCCTGATACACAAGCCGTGCCCTGCGCAGCCCCTCCAAGAGCCAAAACTCCTGGCAGCAGCAATTCTGCTGGCCAGTGAACGGCAGGCATCAGCCTCATCCCAACTCAGAGCAAGGTGCTCAGCCCTAGACCCCAGATATGCCAAACGCAGCTGCGATCCCCTGCTCTGCTTTTTGGGAGCTGCCGAGGGAGGAAGCGATCATTTGCAACCTGGATATTTCTCCTAGTGCCATATCCTGTTTCTCAGGACTGCTGCACACCCTCCGCAGCAGCCAGCAATCCCCTCATCTGTGGCTCGGGGGCAGATGGTGATCCAGGCAGGCTCTCCAGCATCTCTCGTGCTCCCACACACACCGAGCACAGGGACGGCTGTGGCACCAGAGAGTTCAGCACCTGTGGGCACCTCCATCCTGCTACAACACCCAGCGTAAAGCTGTACCAGCACTGCCCTGCCTCCTGGCCGCTGATGAGTACCTGTAGAGTTTTATTATTTTAAAAAAGGGAAAAAAAAATAAGAGATGGCTGGATGCATTGTCCTCCCCAGCACCACTCTGAGGGCTTTGCATGCCAGGATCCCCCTGCTCCAGCACAATGCATTTTTTCCCGAAGGTCTGGTGTTACTCAGACGCTGCACCCCACAGAGGAGACTGGTGTCAGTCACCCCAAAGCACTGCCCTCTATGAGCCTGGGGAAGTGCGAGTAATTCGGGGCTGCTTTTTGGCAACTACAGAAAAGAAGCAGAAGCTGGGGGGACAAAGGCTGCGCCGGTGGGAGCCGGCGACCGCTCCTGCTGGAACGCATGAGCTCACGCCCGCTCGCGCCAGCTCCTGGCGCTGGCACCACTCGCTTCCTGCAATGTGCTTGCTCGCTTCCCAAGCACGTCGCCTCCAACGGCTGGCACTCGCGTGGGGGGAGGCTGCCGCTTGCTTTGGGGTCTCCTTTGGGGTCCCCAGGCCCAGCGCTCTCAGCAATGCTGCAGTGGCAAAAAGCTCCTTCCACCTCTCGTGCTCTCCCTGCAAACTCCTCTGCACTTTCCTGCTATCCAGTATTTTCTTTCGAAGTCTCATACCTGCTGCTCTCCCTCCTCCCCTCTCAGCTGCCTTCCATCGATTTCACTTTTTTTCCAAAGGTACCTTTAATCTGGTCTCTTAATAAATTCTTGTCTGCCATTCACATAAAAGAGTATCTGATGATCTCCTGGATCCTCTTAATAAATTCCCCTCGCCCAGGATGGCTAAGGCAGTGTGACTTATCTTACCTTGCTGGGCCACACATCCCAGCACGGGCCACGGGCTCTCCCTGCAAAATAGCTGGAGAGTTTCCCCATAAGCAATCCCATTAGCCAAGAAGCCAGGTCCCCTCCTCCTGCAGCCTCCTCGGTAATTATCTCACCTCCAAAAACATGACTTTAGAGTATTTTCAGAATTAATGCACGTTCCTAGCCCTGGGAGAGAAGCAAAGAGCCCAGCCACCTTCCCAATCCACCACCCTCATCCTGATGAATGAAGCTGAAGAGCAGACACAGCACGGATCCCATCAATAATAATTGCGTAATTAAATTTAATGCCTTCCCTCTCACCTAACATGACCTCTTCTCCCAGAACTAGGAGATTTTTAAGGCCTCACCTAAAGAAAGCAGCAGTGGGAGAGAAAGGAAGACCCAAGGCGCCTGCCAAGAGAGCAAACCTGGGTGGCCCATCGGTCCCACAATGCGGGGGGATGAACACTAATCCACACAGGGAAAGAAGGAATGCTGCTCAACCCAAAGTCACGTCAAGCCGCCCTGCTTCCCACCATGGCCCAGCAGAAGGACAGGGCTTCCTACAGAGTAGTGCCTCCAGATGAGACTCTCTGATGTCTAGTAGGAGGGCTGAGCTCCCTGCAGCAGGGTACTGAAAGGGTCTCGCTTGCTCTAATTCCACGAAACCAAGAGAAACTTTCCCTTCCCAAACCCATGTCTTCTCTGGGTTTTCCTCAGCCTGGACATGCACAGGGACAGACAGGGAGACCATAAATGCTTAAAAAGCAGAGTAAAAACAACACAGGCCTTGAGGAAAGAGGAAGATTTCCCCTTGTTTCATTTCCCTCCACCGAAGGCTCTCCAGAGAGCAACAAACTCAAGTCCGTCCTCATGCCAGGGCTGAAATGAGCCCCGTACTTCATCTATAGGGGACCCCCCCAGGCCCCCACAGTACCAAACCCTAATGCTGGGGCTACTGACACCCCCAGCCAGGCTCAGGCCACCCGACAAGGGTCTCAGACAGACACTTCTTCTTCCAGACACCAGTTTCCTTCACCACCCCCGATGCTGACCCCACGCACCTCGTCCCCTTGCTCCAGCCTCACAGCCACCACTCCGGCCTGGAGTGAGGCACTGACCGACGGCATCCCCCTGCGAGGGCAGAACCCCGCAGCCACAACACATTCCTCCAGCTCCAGCTGGCACAAGGTATTTTAAAAAACAGAAAGATGACACTGAAGGTCATCAGCAAAGAGTGGTTCCCCCTTCCCAGGAGATCCAACCCAGCAACCTGGTCAAAAGAAAAGTGGGGAGAAGTTACCTGCTCCAGCCACATGTAGCATCTCCCAGGAGCAGGCAGGGCCGGTGGCACAGAGCCGCAGCGCAGGGCCGAGAGCCCAAGAAGTCAAAGCCATCGTATCCGGAGCAAAGCAGGAGGCTTGAGGTGCCAGGTATCGTTCTTCTCTTCGCCGAGCGGCAGCCGAGGCAGAAGCACGGCAGGAGGTGCTAAGCCGAGCGGGAGCAGCCGTTTAAATAAATAAGGGAGCTTTCAGCGTGGCTGCTGAGTCACCGAGGCAGCTCTGATGGCAGCTGGGAACGGCGCTGGCTTTGCTCTGCCGCTGGCTGTACCGGTACGCGGAGGCGGACGGAGAAGTTGGGCATTTCGGAGGTCCCTGGAGCAGGGGGAGGGGGGCGGTTTTTCAAGGTCCCTTGAGCCCAAAGCTCTCCCGTTTGGCACATCAAGCATCGCTCGTTCACGGGCAGCTCTGCCAAGGGGGGAGGCTCAGCAGGTCAGAGCTGACCGCGAAACGGCAGCCAGGGATGCAAGAGAGACGCGAGTACAGACCCGCACGGTGCGTCACGCTCTCCTCCTGCTGGCAGCCCGCTGCTGTGGGAACCAAGGACATGGATTTTCTTAAAAGATCAGGTAAACTGAGGCACAGAGAAACGTGACTTGACCCTCTCCCGATAGAGGGAATAAGACGGGAAACCCAGAAGCAGGGTCAGCTCCCACAGCCACCCACGACACGTCTGTCACCTCCATCTTGCACCCGCCCAGGGCACCCCAGTGGCGTTTATCGGGCTCTTCGCCATCACTCTCAGCCACAGCAGGTCACATCTGCGCTCTCGCCGCGGGGCAAAGCGAGCCAAAAGGGCCTTTTGCTTTGATAGCTCAGCTCCGAGAAAGTCGATCTAATTGGAGATAATTACAGTCTT